CAGTCAAAAGATCATTAAGCTAAAATTAATTCATATACCTAAGAAAATTAAGTAAAACTAAACAACTAATCCCAAGAATTCTAACTTAAATTAGATAGTTTGTAAAAAGAAAATTAAGCCAAATCAGCTAACATGACAAAAGAAAATTAAGAAAAGCTAGATACTTAGACAAAGGATAATTAAATTAAACTTGATGGCTTGACTAAAGAATTCTAACTAAAATTAGAAAATTAATCATAAGAAAATTAGGCCAAATTAACTTAGTTGTCTAAAGATAATTAAGTAAAGTTGGAGACACTATCCAAAGAATATTAAGGTAAGTTAGATGTGTAGTTGAAAGAGACAGAAAAATTCAAAAATTATGCTAAAGAACTAGAATAGTAAAAGGAATTATTGAATAAACTACCATAAAAATAATTTAGAAGATTAGTTGACAATATATTTGATAAAAATATGAAACTAAAGCTATTTTAGGTAAATGGCCAAAATAAACTTCTTTATAAAGCCACTAGAGATGGATTTTAGCCAGCTGATTTCCACAGACTATGTGATAATCAAGGACCTACTGTTTCTTTTATTTAAAGTGAACATGGTGAAGTATTCGGGGGCTATACATCAGTATCTTGGACATCTGAAAATAAATATTCAAAAGATAGTGAAGCTTTTGTATTCTCTTTAACTAAGAACACTTTGCATAAATAATATCAAAACATTGGTACTGCTATTGGACAATGGGGAGGTTATTTTATGATTTTTGGTCATGATTCTGATATTTACATTAATAGTGGCTGCAATGTCAGTTAAAGTGGCTATAGCAATTTAGGTGGAACATATATGCCTCCGGAAGGTTTAAAGTATGGTGAATAATAAGCTAAAGACTATTTAGCAGGAAGTTATTAATTCAAAGTAATTGAGATAGAGGTATATTCAGTAACACTATGATTGGTTAAATTATTTATAATTGAGTTATCAAAGAATCCAAGTTGAATTTTAAACTAGTAATTTTCATTTTTATTAAATTATTATTATACCCAGATTTTCTATTTAATTATAATTTAGAATCATGGGGTTTTGGGGTTTTGGGG